ATGGTATCAAGTTTATATATAGCTTGACCTGTGACAGCTGTGGCACATAATATGAAGACAGGCATTACCAAATAATAAATGGATATGGCCTTCCTGAAAGAATCTAAGCTGTTCATATCATATTAACAGCTGTTTGGCTCATTAGCAGCTCAGTAGAGTAAGCCTACAAAGCAAAATTCCCATAATGCTGGGCCAGTGTGCCATGTCACACCCTCTAAAAAGCTGATGGGGTGCCCTCCCCATTTTAAGCCACCAGGCATGGGTGGCTGCTTTCCAGGACCTGTCTCAATGCAAACTTCTCATAATCTTAAACAAGACCATTTCCTCAGAAAAAAGTCAGAGAACCCAGGGAAGGTTCAGCCCAGAACTGAGGGTCCTTAGACGATGATCTACAGGTTGTCTCCTTGGGCCTTTCATGATGGGAATTTTACATAGCTACCTGACAGGGCTCACTCAGTTCTCAAGGCTGCTTTGATATTTATACATTATGGGTTATATATCTCCAGGTTTATGCGCAGTGATATGTTTTAGACATGGAAGAGAAAGTATGTACAGTGGCACAGACCTGGACCACATAATTTATTTCTCTACTGTAAAGCAGCCAAAAAACAAAGACTTTTACCATCCTTTTGGGTTACATTATTTTAACTGCTGATATGCAGAGAAAGGGACAGGACACAGACATGTGGACTATCAGTATGTGTATTAGACCCTCAATTCAGAAAGGCATGGCACAGAAATTCTAAAGCATGGAAGAAATCTATTTATGCAAATATGTCACTGTACAGTTGGAGAGATGATTCAGCAGTTAAGAGCACTTACTGCTCTTCCAAAAGACCCGCGTTAGGTTCCCAGCACCCACAAGGCTCTCTTCTGGCCTCCATGAGCACAGGTACATGCATGTGTACTTACATACATGTAGGACTCATACACATAAAATAAAATCTTTTTTAAAAAAAGAATGCTACTGTAAGTTGCTGGGTGTGGTGGCTCACACCTTTAGTCCCAGCACTCTGGAGGCAGAGGCAGGTGGATCTCTATGAGTTCAAGGCCAGCCTGGTCTACCTAGGGAGTTTCAGGCCAGCTGGGGCTACAGGGTTCAAAAAGACGAGAGAGAGAGAGAGAGAGAGAGAGAGAGAGAGAGAGAGCACCAGAATGCCACTGTAGAATATAAACACAAATGCTTAAGCAATAAATGGAACTAACTGCACTTCAGGTAATTTCCTCATTGTCTACAGAAGTACATGGAGACCTCAAAAAGATTCCTTGAAAACGTTCTCCCTCTCACTCTTCCCTAAGCAATTAAAATCTTTTTTAAAGAAATTAGATTTTATTACTTATTTTTATTTATTTGTGTGCATGCTATAGTGTATGTGCAGAGGTCAGAGGACAACTTGTAAGAATTGATTCTTTCCTTCCATCCTGTGGGTTCCAGGGATCAAATTCAGATCATCAGTCTTACTGGTAGTACATACCTTTACCACGGAGTCTTCTTGACTCATTCCTAATCAAATTTTAACCAATGCCCAATTACATAAACCCAGTGCTACAGAAAACACTATCAGTAGTTCAGCTTTAGCTCACAAGGATATGAACAGGCCAGTGCTCTGAAGCTGTGTGTCCCACAAGCTAGGAGAAGTTCTGGAGTACTGAAATGCTCATTAGTATCTGAGAATACACTCTCCGAATAGCAGGGCCCAGATGCTAGCAACCACAAATTACTTATTACCAAGGTCATAAAAACCTAAGTTAAGGAATCTGAAATCTAATTTAAGAAAAAAGAAAAATCCCACTACCCTGACCCCCAAGACACACTTGTAAACTCAAACAACGTCTGGGTACAAAGCAAACCACTGTGAAAATGGAATGGTCGTGGTGTCCAAGGAAAAAATCCTACCAAGTATAAAAGAAGAGTAATACAGGTAACGAAATCTATGCTAGATATTTAAAATCCTCACAATTTTCCTACTCCAAGTAAGTTGGTTTTTGTCCATAAAATATGGATACTTGAATTCTTCTAATTTATTCTGTCTTCTATAAAATGCAGACACTGTTGTGAACAGAGCTTACTCTGAATACAGGCAGTTACCCGTTCATTTTCAGGTCTATGAATTTTGTCTTTCATTTTAGCCTGAGAAAAGAACCAATCTCTCAGCTGGCTGAACCACAAGACCCTGAGAAACCAGAAAGCACATTCTAGCTCTGCTCCACTTCTTTGTTCCACCCTGCTCAGCTGCAACACACTACTCCATTCACCCGTTACAGGCCAAAGGCAGCCTCATCACACAAAATACTGAACACGTGAGGCTGACTTAGCCTCTTGAATTGACTCTTAATTCCACAGAAATGAAAAAGCAGAAGCATACTCTTAAGTGACAGGAGGTGGTAAAATGGTCAGGTAATTATAGAAATGTTCATCCCTCCAGGCCCTCCACAACCTCTGCCCCCAAGAGGGCTTCTCGAAAGCCCTGGCCAGGATGGTCTCATACACAGCAGCACCTTTCCTTTGACCATGGCAACAGCATCCTTGGGTCTTTTGGTCTTTCCAGATCTTTGTGTTTCAACGCTGCAGCCTGACTACCTTTTCCAGGGGCAGTGCCCACACCTAGAATGTCTGCATCCAAATGGTACCCCAGTGTTACACATACTGTATTTATTGACAGACTAAAAGTTCTCTATTACATCACTTAGTTGAAAAAAGAAACATTACCAGAAATACATGTAGGTTTTCTGGCAGATAACATATCTCCAAATCTGTTTCATAAATGGAATTGCTAATGCTTAAAGGCACAGTTCCAGGTTCTGAAACATGAGCACAAAAGGAGCAGCACATTCACACCTGTAAGCCAGTGTGTTAGTACGGGCTTCTCTTTAATTATTTGCCACCAGGGCAGAGGTGTGGCTTGGGGGTGGTGGAGCACTTGTCTAGCATGCCTGAAGCCTTGGGTTCGGGTTCAATCCACTCATGGAAAGCCAAGTACAGAGGAATTCTCCTATTTTTCAATGATATAGGTGAGGCACTGGCAGCAGCCAGGCACGCTGTCACCTGGAAAGTTCAGGTTGCTCTGTACACAGCTGATGGATTTCTACTCCACACAAGCACTTGTCTCGTTTGCAACTGAAAAGAATACATTATTAGGTAGCACTAGTTTACCATCTCCAAAGAACAGTACTCTTATGGGAACAGGAAAAAACAGGGTCCTAACATGAGAAGCAACCCAGTCTTCCTCATGACAGATAAGCATTAGCTTTCCTAGCAGAAGCCACCTTCCTGGCACCTGGCACCACTACAGGAATGCCTTCATCCTCTAAATTCCAAAGGTGACTGTATACTTGGTAAAGCTGTGCAACTGAGGAAAGAGGAATAAAGCCTTTTTCTTTACAAGGGGAAGATACACTTTCTTGGGAAATTTTGCTTAATACAAGGACAGTTAAGGTCAAGATGTTGAAAGCAGAAGAGGGGACACCTGCTGGGTGCGGCCGGGGTGTCCTTGCCAATACAGATAGGACAGACACATCTGTCCTCATGGGGGATGCTGAGAACTATACTAAATCTTCTACACACATTCATTAATCCCTCCATTAATAAACCATGGTACTGCCATACAGGGGCTATGAGCCATGCTATGAACATGTAAGGCAACAGCCCCACACAGGCACCCTCCAGACAGAAGCATACCTTACAAGTGAAGTGGAATGTCTAAACAAGCCAAACCACAGGAATGCTAGCTGTTCCAATTGAACAAAACAGGTTGAAGTCCATCTATGTATTATCTCAGTAATCCTAAAGGAATCCTGAAAACTGGTAACAGCTCTATTTTACAGTTGAAAACATGGTGGCAGAAAGGCTACATGACCTGCCCAATGTCACTCAACAAGTGTAGGGCAATTTTATGTCTGTCTGATGGGGATTTGACATAAGCCCAATGCTTCTGATTTTACATACCACCTACACATATGATAATCCAGCAAACTTTTTTCTTAATGGCCCAAACATACTAAATATTTTAGGATATTCATATAATGAGTCATGTAGACTGTGGCACAACCAGTTAAAATACTATAGCAGTCATGGACAGTATACAAAAACATGAGCATGGATGCTCTCCAATGAAGCAGAAAGCTGATACCTAATATAGACCAGGGGTTGGTAATCATAATCTTGGACCAAACCCAGCCTTTACCTGCTTTTGTAAATAAAAGTTTTATTTATGACCCACATCTAGCCCATCAATTAGACTAGCTCATCCTTGGGAGCATGGAAGATGCTTGAATTCAAGATCTGTTGCAATCTTCCCCAACAATGCTCTGATTCCTGATCTGTGACCTATGTACTCCAGCTATCCAGGTAGGAGTGTCTGACCTCTCATTGCAAAGAACAGACATTCTTCATCATCATCAATCAAACAGCAGTTCAGTTTTTGCAAGACCCAGTATCCTCAGGGAGCTAAACAAACCAAAAGGAGAGTCTTAACCTGAAAAGACAGTGATCAGAGACTGAGTTTGTGGTGCCAGGACAATGTTTAGATGATTCATTCATTCAGATGTGCTATGAGTACCTGCTCTGTACCAGACAGAAACACGTACAAAATTTAGACTGAAAAGAGGGACTCATATGGCACTCGAGAAAACACTTGACACAGAGCAAATCTCCTGAAGACCTGAGCTTGACACTCCCTACCTGCAAGTAAGCAGACAGACAGACAGACAGACAGACAAGCAGCACTGATAGCTGAGACAAAGAACTCTGGCTTCCTGTCAAGGATAGCAGTCATGGGAGCAGAACCTGTAAGATACAAGGGCAATAACTATGCCAAGCCTACCACTGAATCCTAAGCACCTAGCTCAATGCCAGGAAACAGCAGGCGCTCCAAACATAGTTGCTGTCTATGTTACTATGGATCACCTCCAAGGCCTTTGACAAGGTAGATTGTGAACAGGTCAGCCTGAAAATCAGAATTTCCTGACTCTCGTGTTAAATGAGATCAATTTCCCCATACCTGGATTGTCTGATAATCAGAAGCATCAATTCCCTTCACAGTCACCTCTCGGAAAACTCTGGGCTCCAGTTCCTCTTTGGTAAGATCACAGTGATAAATGATGCCTAGAAGGGAAGGAAACCTCAGGTTAGTCTACAAGACTCATGAGATGCAAGGGCCACAAGGACAGTAGGTACAGTCAGCAGATGACAAAAATGGCCAGGGGAGCAACAGGCAGGTACCCTGGTAGGTGTGTCAGGTGTGATGCAGACAGTCTGCCATGGGCAGCATCCTGGAGGAGCTCATCTTCATCAGGAGCACCACACACTGCCTCCCTTTTCACAACACTACGATGGCTAATCTTCAGTGTCAGTTTGATCGCATTTGCAATCACCGAGGATACATGCCCCTGGGCATGTTTATGAAAATATTTCCAGAGAGGTTTAATTGAGAAACCTGCCCACCTCTGACTGTGGGCAGCACCATCCCATGGACTGGGGGTCACAGAATGAAAGGGAAAAAGGCATCAGGAATCATCTCTCTTTGCTACTTGATCTGCCCCATGTGAGCGAGCAGTCTGTCACCAGGCCTCCCCCAGGGGTGGACAAATGCCTCAAACTGTGTTCCTCCCTTCCTTGCTGTCCACACATATTTTGTCACCGCTATAAGAAACGTAACTAATAACAACACTAAGCACAGCCTGCACTGTAGAAGATTCTAATGCATTCTGTAAGCATGAGAAAAGGTAGAATACCGAACAGAACTCAACAGGCTTTCTCTAAGGTCGCTTAGGAATGCCAGTAAAAGAAGAAGGTAAACTCAACCGAAATCTTTTACCTGAAAGGCCACTAACGCAAAACACCCATGAGCTGCCCAAGGTCAACCATCAGCCAGGGGTCTTCTGAGCTGCCGCGGGGGCCTCTGCTACACTCACCCATGCATGCACACACGGCAACAATTGGGAACCAAAGATGACCACCAGCTGTTTCAGAACCACTTTCTCAACTTTGACTATCCCAGTAATTGTGTACAACATAAAACAATCAATATATACACCAAAAATTTTAAGGAAAATCCTACTTCTTGAACTAAATCTCTTAGATATCCTCACTCTTGATATTTAAGAGTTAAATCAAAGAAACAGGAAAGACCAACCTTTTGTGCCGTAAGACAATGAATGCAGTGCTGCAGCTTATGAAGTGAAATTAGTGGCTGGTGTAGAAATAGTACCCACCACATGGTATCTTAAATATAGACTGTCAAACAGAAGGAAAATTGATGTTGTGATCCTAGTGCTTGCTGGAAAACCAGAAGCCAAATGGGACTCCCACAGGGCACACGGAAATTGATTGATCATGCATTAAAATGGCAGGTCTGTCTTTCTTCTCAGCCCCTCTGTGTACGTACTTCATGAGTAGCTGAGAAACAATATTCTGCCCCCACTGGAAAGGTGTAATGCACTTAGAACTGTTAACTGTATGACAGCTAGTCTTCATGCACACTACTTCACCTTTCACGCTTACAAACTATCCCAAGGCTATGGTAATGTGCATGATTATCACCAACAGTAAGATGTAGAACACGATAAAGTACTGGATTTCTCAGCTTAAGTTATCCTGGGTATTTGCTGGAATATATATTTGCATGTAATGTGTTATACTCCGTGAACTTGCATCATGATTTAACTGTAACAGATGCACTGAATACTCGGTTTGTCTATATTAATATCATCATGAGAGCCAAAGGAGACATTCAGACATGAGAGGTTATTTTTCTAAGCAGTACCTGGTGCCCACCACAAACACAAAAAAGCATTTGAATCCTTGGGACACAGAAAAAAAGTCTCCAAACATTCCAACAACAACAAAAAAAATGGAATAAAGAGCCTGTGCCAACTGATCACGACTGCCCTGGTCCCACCACAGACTGATCACAACTGATCACGACTGCCCTGGTACCGCCACAGACCGATCACAACTGATCACGACTGCCCTGGTCCCACCACAGACCGATCACAACTGATCACGACTGCCCTGGTCCCACCACAGACCGATCACAACTGATCACGACTGCCCTGGTCCCACCACAGACCGATCACAACTGATCACGACTGCCCTGGTCCCACCACAGACCGATCACAACTGATCACGACTGCCCTGGTCCCACCACAGACCGATCACAACTGATCACGACTGCCCTGGTCCCGCCACAGGCCGATCACAACTGATCACGACTGCCCTGGTCTCGCCACAGACCGATCACAACTGATCACGACTGCCCTGGTCCCACCACAGACCGATCACAACTGATCATGACTGCCCTGGTACCACCACAGACTGAGGAGCAATTAATGATGACAGTTTCAGCAGCCAAAAGCAACAGCTCAGTGAACGCATCCAGCCACCAAAGGACTGGAATGCAAATTCCCTAGTGAAAGATGAGGAGTAGGAGATAGACTACATGCCAGCTTATACAGAATAGTTGGTAGAGCAACTCTCACAGCAGAATGAAGTAAACACACAGACACCGGTACCCTTCAAAACAGGGGTCACATACCTGCCTCGATTCCATGCAAGTGCACACAGATGCTTCCCTGAGGGAGCAGTGAGAACCTTGACGGTACCAGCGACAAATGGATTTTGTCAATACTCTCCATGTATAGAGCCATCTGGGTTAGCCCAAATCAGTGCACTGCACAGTCATACTATAATGTAAACCACTATGACCTAATGATGCATTACATCCCACCTGATTTGCCTCATGTGGGGAAAGGACAGGGAAAGAAGAGTTGGAAGAAAACATTCTGGAATCATGAAAAGCAATAGGCTGGTTAGATGATGTCTAGGAAATAAATTTAAAGATTTAAGGTGAAGGAGAATTCAGTTAAGGTCAGAAGGAGTGTTTGGCCTTAAGATGTTTTCTGACGAAACCACTGCTTTCACAGGGCATTCTAGCAATGGGCAGGGGCAATGGGTGTGGTCCCAGTGTTATCTGAAACTAATGCAGGGAGGGAGAAGAGGGAGAGGGAACAGAACTCTGTAACCCAGGTAGGTATTTTATCTGCTTATAGGGCAGGACTTAATGCTATCTGGGGGAAAAGACCCAAAGCCAAATCCCTTGAAAGTTTTTGTCAGGGACTGGACAGATGGCTCAGCAGCTAAGAGCACTGGCTGTTCTTGCAGAAGACTGGGTTCAGTTCCCAGCACCCACACGGCAGTTAACAACTATCTGTTACTCCAGTTCCAGGGGATCCGATGCCCTCTTCTGTCCTCCACAGGCACTGCACGACACAGGTGCACTTATACACATGCAGGCAATACACTCATATACATTTGAAATAACAAGAAAGAAAAGTTTTTGTCTTTCTCAAATCATGTGTGAAAGGCTTTTTCTTCCCTGCTTCCCAGAGCCATGTCTGGAGGACATTACAAAGCTCAAGTCTGGCTGAGGCTAACGTTGGGCAAACCCAGCTTCACTCAGGTCAACTACAAAGTGACTCGAGCCCCAGGGAACCAGGGCATCATGCTCTAAATTACTATGGCTGCCTATTTTCTCCCAAGTATGACCCAAGGTGCAAAAGTCACAAATGGCTTGGGCTCAAGATGTATCCTTACCATGTACTTCTATGGGAAGCCAAGTTGGCTGGTTGCCCTTGCCAGATATACCACATATTCAGGGCAGGAAGTTAGGAGTGTACTTATTTGTGACCCTGACTTAAAATTTAATGTCTTCTCAGCCGCTGACTGTAGTAGTGAACAGCTAACCTCCAGATGCAGCTCATCTAGGCCACATTACCGTTGTGCCTGAATAAAGAAATGCCCTGACTCTTAGCATTCATTTTAAGGCCAAGAGCTAACCCAAACTGAGTACCTGTTCCTTCAGATGCCTCATGGAACCGTGCTCTCAGGCCAGGCTTTACTCATTCTTTTATTGAACCAGTATCTCCAGCATGAATCAGGGGACTGGAAACTAGGATCTATCCATATCAGAGAATCTTGGCCATTGATTGCTAGGCCTAAAATATCTTACACACACAATTTGAGACAGACTTCTCAATTCTACTCACTGTTTTCAGTAAGAAAGATATGCTGCCTCCAACACTTTAATGTGTTAATCAGGTACACCGACATTCACTATCTTGGGTGGAGGGCAGGGTGGCGGTATCCTGAGGGATGAAGGTCAGGTGCCCAGGCCAAAAGAGGAGCAAATGGCTCAGTGAGCTTGTTTACATTATAAACAGTACTTTTTGGTTGCAAGGTTAGGTAAAGTCTATAGTCCAGATTTTGTCCATATTGCAAAGTCATCACTACATTCAGAGACTGGCATAAGATAGTTTTGAGTGATATGTCCATGTTTGGATATGTGGATATACATGAACAATCCATGCTTTCCTGAGAACTACTTGAATTATTTGATGGCTGTTTTGGCATTTGGTTTTAGAAGACTTGAATCTGGAAATTCCATTCTTTGGCTTTAGATACCAAATTGTATTGAGAGAACAGAAGGGTGGGGAGGGGAGACAGATGAGTAAGAGGAGATGGGGGAGACAAACAGCATTACAGTAACAAAACTTTTCTCAGAAGCTGCCTGCTCATATACAACTAGGAATACACTTCTCTTTACACACTTTACAACCATAATCACAGGCAACATTTCCCTGCTTGACATAGAACCCATCATTTCCACTAGCACAACCAGCCGGTTTTCCCTCAGATAATGATGTGCTTGTTCTTAAATGTCCACGAGGGGTCACTGAAGAAGGTTTTCAGGCCTTTGGGGACTCTGGCTTTCATGAAGAACAGGTGAAACACCCCCACTCTGTTCCTCTTTGTGCTTCATTTAATCCCAGCACTTCAGAGGCAGAGGCAGGCGGATCCCTGTGAGTTCAAGGCCAGCCTAGTCTACACAGTGAGTTCCAGGACAGCTGGGGCTACCAGGAGACCCTGTCTCAAAAAGACCAAAGCAAAACAAAAAAGAGTGTATTTATTTAGGTCCTATGCTGAATTCACTAAACTGTTTTAAACATAAAATTGATAGCATAAAAAAAAAGTAAAATGTTTGGAAGCAGTGTGAGTCTGAGGTATAAACTGTGGGCCTGTGACAGTGGGGATGAGACTCTGTCCTCTGCTCATTGGCTGCTACTGTGCTGAGGCTGTAGAAAAAGCAGGGTGGGGGCACAGGACACTGTGGTGTGGAATTCTTCAACTGCTGGCTCCTGGCTTCTGGCTCTTGGCTTGAGGGCTCTTTTCCTAGCATTTCTCAGGCCTCTGAAAGATGCTTGGAAAAGTAAAACCAGCTGCCCCCTGAGACCTACTTATAGAACATCACTCTTAAGTTTTAATCACTGAGACAGCAACTCATTACTGAGATAAGAAAAGATTTCTTAGCCCATCTGGGACTCAGAGGCTCAAATGAGATGTGGATGAAGCATCACTGTGATCCAGTCAAATCCCTAGAGAGAATGGTCATACTTCAGCATCTGCCTGACTCTCCCCTAAGATTGCTCTATTCTCCACCAGCAAACAATTGTGACAAAATTGGGTGGGGCAGAAAGTACTCAGGAGTCTGGCAAATTGAACAGGGCCCGTGTGAGAACTTCTTCAGCCAGAATGTTATTAAGACAGGGTCTGTTTGGTCAGCTGCAAGCTGCGCACTGAGCAGGCTGCTGAGAGAAATCACAGCAGATGTGTGGCCCCAACTCTGTGCTAGTGGAACAAGGGAGAAGGAAAGAAAATGCAGAACGAAGCAGAACGAGTGTGACCAGCTTGGGGACGGTTAAAAGGGAACTATTTTACTTCGGGGAAAACTGACCCACACCAGGAAATGTAAAATCCAAACTGTGCTGTATTTTCCTTTCCTAACACACCGATGATAACACTTTTATTTGTCATGAGGTTAAGATTACATTTTTAGAATCACAGTTTAAACCATTTTTCAGTTTATTCTAGAAGACATTTTGTATTCCAGGTGTGGCTATGGATATTATGGTTTGTTTGATTTTGTTCTGGTTGTTACCTGTACTGTGTGTCCTTGTACAGAACAAAGCCTGAACTAATGGCTTCATTTCTGGGTACTAATTTTTTTTTTTTTTTTTTTTTTTTTTTGAGACAGAGTCTCACTGTGTAGCAATGTCTGGCCTGGGACTCACTGGGTAGACGAGGATATGGAACTAATTTTATTGACTTAGAACTGCTCCCAGTAGAATAGATTCAGAATAAAAAATTAGTGAGAATATAGTTTTGATTGTTCTTTGTTCTAAATATCTTGTTTTATTCTTCCCTGCAAGTGGTTTTGGTGACAAGCACACCCCTGTGAATGGCACCACCACAGTATTATATCGCCGTTTCCCAAAGAAGCCCAAGCTCAGGCACAGTGTAAAGAGCCTCTCACCTGGAGATAAGAAGGAAGTGAACTGGTAGAAGATCTCCGAGTCCTTCTTCCGCCCGCTGTACCCCACCACACTGCCAACGTCAAGCGGGAAGGACTTGAGGAGAGCACCCGTGCTCAGGTCATGAAGCTGCAGAGTGTTCTTCACGTCATGGAGGTAGCACAAGACCAGGAAGTTGGACCTGACACAAGCCACCCATTCTGAAATGACAAAGAGAGTCCAAGACTACATCACTCACTGAACTGGAGTCCTAAGCCCACGAGTCCTGGGCCTAAGCGAAGTTGTTTAATGATTGGTTTTAGCCCCTCACCTAGTTTTCAGCAGTCCTTTCACATGGTGGCAGATGTTATGTTCAGGAGACAAAGTAGTCTCCATCTTGATCGACCATCAGGAGCGCCCAACCTTTTGACACTGCCACATTACGGTAACTACAAAGTTCACTCTTGAGAACTACACAATCAAGTTAAAAATATATATTTCATAATGTTTTAAGTAAGTTTATGATTTTGTGCTAGTCACATTCGCAGCTATTCTTGGCTATGTATGATCTATGGGAGCTGCAAACATTCATTCTGCTCTAATTTAGATCAGTGCAACCTAAAGGCCCATGTGTCCTGAGCCAATCTAGTCACTGGGAGGTGGTAGAACCTTTAAAAGTGAAGGCCTAATGTAAGAAGTCAGGTCACTGGGACTACGTCCCAGAAGATATTAGGACCCTACTTCTGCTCTTCCTCTTCTGTTTTACTGTCATGAGGTGAATTAGAGTTCCCACCACTTTGTGATGACTCTCTGTAGGCCCAGAAGCAACAAAGCTAACCAACTACAGACTGAAATGCCAAAAACTATGAGTCAGAATAAACCTCCTCTTTTAAGAAACTGATTAGTGGGGGCTGGAGAGATGGCTCAGCAGTTAAGAACACTGGTTGTTCTTGCAGAAGACCCAGGTTCGAATCCCAGCACCCACATGGCCACTAACAACTGTCTGTAACTCCAGTCCCAGAGGATCTGACAGCCTCTTCTGTCCTCCACAGGCATTGCCTGACACAGGTGCACTTACCTACATGCAGGTAATACACATGCACATAAAATAAAAATAATAAATAAAATTTAAAAAAAGAAGCTGATTAGCTCAGGCATTTTGTCAAAGTAACAGAAGGTAATTAAAATGCCTATCTACATACTTTGTATCTGACATCACTCTGTAGGGGACAGAGAGGAAAAGAGCAAAAACCAAACCATACTCCACAGTAGGGTTATTTGACAAGAATGTATCAAGCCCTTAGTCTACCATCAGATACCCTGCAAGGGGCTGGAAGGACATGTAGGAGGATGAGGTCATTCCCACCTCCGAGACATATCATAAACGCAGTGGGAAGATGTGGACATGGGGGAGTAATCAGTTCGTTGAAATGCAAAAACAGGAAACAACTCTTAAGCAAGGAATGAATTTTGACTTGAGAACAGGTTGTGGAGCTTGGGGACAAGGGTGGTTGGGAGGGCATTAGGGGAAATACAGCTTTCAAGTGGACGAGGTGTCAAAAAGAGAGGTGAGTCAAGGAATAAAGGCCAGAGTGAGGACAGAGGAAAGGACTCTTGAACAATTTTTTTTCACTTGTTTATTTTTATTTTATGTGTATGTATGCACACTCATGTCATGCAGTGCCTATAGAGGAAAGAAGAAGGCACTGGATCCCCTGGAACTGAAGTTATAGACAGTTATTTAGCTGCTATGTAGGTGCTGGGAACTGAACACAGTTCTCTGCAAGAGTAGCTAGTGTTCTTAACCTCTGAGTCATCTCTCCAGCTCCAGAAAGGACTCCCGAACGCAAGACTGAATGAGTACGGGAAGGGCAGACGGGGGATGGAGGAAGACAAGTGAACTATCTACACGGAAGAAGCAGAAAAAGCCGGTTCAATCTGGGGTACATGGTGATGCTGGTGGTAACTATCTGGGGGTATTTGGTGCGTTAGGGAGAGTGGGGTTCAGTTATCCTCTACTGAGGAGTCACTCTGAATGGAGAGTGATGTAAGTGAAGACAACGCCAGTACAGGAAGATGCATTTGACAAGAGGGCAAAGCAATGAAGTCTGCAGATGGATGGAGGGAGACAAGAACAGACAGTACTGCACGGCACCAGGAAGAACACCACGGCACCAGGAAGAACACCCCATGGCACCAGGAAGAACATCACGGCATCAAGAAGAACACCGCACGGCACCAGGAAGAACACCGCACGGCACCAGGAAGAACACGGAATAAAGCCCAGAGGCAAGGCAGAGAAACAAAAGGTACTTCCCACGAGTTGCCAGAACCTGACACTATGGGGATATGAGAAGTGAGGTGGCGATGCGAGTTCTCCTCGTGGCCCAGTGTGGAAGCTCACTGGAAGTGCACAGTGCAGAGCCAGAAGAGGAGGCAGTGAGGGTATGGGGAAGGAGAAGTAGAACAGCAGACACAGAGGCCAGGCTGGGACAGGGATGGCCTGTCCAGGGGAGAGATGAAAATAAGAACAGCACAGCAACAGCTCAAATGTGGTGAAAGGCTAAGCTTTCCTTGGGTTTCATGCTGGGGTTCTTGACACTGCTTATTTCTGCAAGCCATGAAAGCAGTGATTCACTTACAATGTGAGCACTTCTTCACTTGAGCCACAGGGAGGAGCACTGGGCACCTTGATCTTGGGTGGCTTTGATTACCACAGCAAACTTTTCCTTAACTGAAGATACCAAGAACTCTTACATTCAAAAGTACTTTGCCACTAATTGTTTATTTTTCTGTTTTGTTTTTAAAGAGTAACTCAATCAAGCAACATATTCCATGTGACTTATTGTTCTAAAGAGAAAAGCATGGATAGAAAATTGAAGTAAATTACAGCTGTCAAAGAATAATCAATCTGTGTTAACGAATACATCCAAATTATAAAAGACAAAGTGAGTAAGAAAAGGACAAGGAGATCTGTAGAATGTCAGTAATAAAAGCTCTGACTTTATAGCTGTATTTTATGAGTCAGGTCTAGTTTTTAATCCCTGATAGGGCATTCTGCACTAATGATATATAACAAAATCAGCTTTGCTTCTCTTTGAATTGATGAGTTCTAGTGAATACTTAAGGCTTTCCCCTTTCTAGTCTAAAGAACTTACAACCTTTCAAGAGGAAGGATACAAAAATATATCACCACTAATCTCCAGGTATTAATTTGCATTTCATTAGATCTATAAATGAGATAGGATGTCACTTTAAGGCACAATTTACCCTCCCCCGTTAGCTTTAAAGGCACAAAATTCAGAGGGCTTAGGAAATATTTAGAGCATCTATGTCCCTCTACAAGAATCGCTATTCTAACCTGAGCTGTTTCTAAAAATCACAAGGGCATATACATGAAGACAGGCTTCAAGTGTCCTTTGGACATACCAACACATGTGGTCAACACCATGTAGCAGGACCAAATTTGGTTCCTTGGCAAACCCTGGGGACACACTCCTGCCTCAGTAGGGACAGAAGCTGTCAGGTTCTAAAGTGACAATGGAAGAATCTTCACATGAAGATGCTCAACAAAATGGTCCAATAACTGCTCTACAACTTGTGATTCCTCATTTTTTGTCCTTTGGACAAAAAAGGGTCCAAGAATGAAGTGGTTCTGAGGAGACAGGTGAGGTGGTTTCCATGGAAAGTGCTCCAGGTGTGCTCTACAGTTTATTCCCCACTGTGAAAGCAAGGCTACTCCCTCCTACTGACTGCAGCCTGTGACACAAAGTACAAGTGCTGATGGAAACCTGACAAATGACAGGGACTGTGACTGGAATTTAGAGGGCAGGATCAACTAGCTACATTAGAGGAAAAGCCTGGAGTGAGCTGCCACCTGGGGATGGCAGATATGGATTTTGCAGGAAAGAGCAAGTGGGAGTTGTCTTGGGTCCTGCCCAATATTGGCTGGGAGTGGCAATCTTAATACAAAATGGTGTACGGGGGAAGGACAGCCAAATGCCCAGAGCTGAGAAGCTCAAGCAAACCAGTGCTTCCTTCAGAACCACGGAAACTACAGAATAAAAGACACAGCAGGAAGTGCCCATGGGAACCTGTGACCCTACGACCAGCTGTCTGCGGTCTATTCCAATAATACCAGGTTTAAATTTGTGTAAGACATAGTGGACAGAGAAAAGAGTCCCTGAGTGGTGTCGGTGTGAACTGGATCTACCCGACTGAATATGTGTGCACTAAAAAAACTCACTGTGGGGATTCTCTGACTGAGATGGGGACATCCTGTAGCTTGGGCATGTGTCCCCATTACTGCACACAATATGCCTCTGCTTTTCGGCCTTGGGAGTTTATCCTCATTGAACTTACCGCAGAAGTTCATCTCCAACAGGTAAACTTTTCATTGGCCTCAAAGTACTAAACTTCTCTTTTGTGTAAAACACTCTCCCCAAAAGTGAGTCTTCTAAAAAAAATTCAACTTTAATGCAATAATTTATAAGGTAGCAAATCATTTTTGGAAAAGTCAGACAAAATAAGTAAGTGCCTACAATGGTTTTTCAATGAAATATGGGGGATAGTCTATTCTCTTTTCTAGTAAGATGGCTGGAAATCCACGCTCAGCTTTGCAACAGGCAGAAACAGACAGCCAAAGGTGATGCAAAAGCTTGAAGCTAAGAGCCATGACTCTAAATGGTTCAAAAAATTAAATGTTAGCAATTATTATTGGATAATAAGCACACAAAGAAAACTGCTATTTTTAAAAAGCAGTCTCTTTGAAAACAGAAATTCATACCCCCAATTTTTTAGTAAGCATTTTTATGTGACATATTAACCTAAAATAATGTTACACAGTAAAGACTTGGATGCACTAGTTAGGCATTTCAGTCCTAATAACTACAAATCAAAAGTTCTTTACTGAATAACCAGTCACCAGACAGTAAGATGGACCAACCTGTTGATTTTCTCACCAAAAACAATATCACAATCTTCAGGACGCCTTTCATCTTACCTAAGACGTCTTTCTCATGCTCAGGAACAAGAACTTTCCACTTAGATTCATCAGGATCGGTGAAGTCAATGCTGATCAGGCGATAGTTAGGAGAATTGCGATTCGTCTTGAATATAAACACTGTCCCCTCGTTGGTTACATAGTCATATTCTCCTTCAAAGTTGTCTATCAGTTTTACCCACTTCAGGATTCCTGATAAGATACAAATCATCTCATCACCTCTGTGATGTTAAAAGAAATGGTGTGTGTGTGTATGCAGGAAAATGAAGGGTCTTTTCTGTCTACAAAGTGTAAGGCACAGGTGGTACTGGGAACTCTAATGCATAAAAAAAGGAGCAGGGACCAGCTGTAGGTGAGTGCCAAGGAGCCCTGGAGAACCCTGGCATCAGTAGAGACTAAGGACCTCGTCTCCTGACCCACCATCACACAATTATAATTCACTTTATCCTCTTCTGCCCAAGTGAGTCTCAAACCAGAACACTTCTTCCCATTTTTCCTGCCGTCCCACAACGTCCTCATCATTTGCTGCCTGCTCTACAGCTCTTAACCAGGGACAACAAACACCCTCTCCCAATTTAAAAAAGCATTTAAATTGTCACAACCTAGGAAGTGAAGATTGCTACTGGCATCTAGTGGTACAGGTCAGAGATGCTGCTAAGCATGCCACAATGCACAGGTCATCCTACAACATAGCAGCAACCAGCTCAAAATGTCAACAGGGCCAAGTCTGAGAAGAGAAGCCTTGCCTACAGACTTAGCTTTCTGCCTGGTTTTCCCTCAGCCACTCTTGATTTCCTCTACTCCAACAGTGTTTTAATATCCTAACCTGGTCCGTATTGGTGTCTCTTAAACTTTCAATGACTTCTCCCCACCCTGGAATAAAATCCAGGCTTTTAGTTGTGGTCTCCACAGTCTTTTCTCGCTCAGACTTCTGCTTGCTCTAACTCTTGCCTCACCTCCCTCCAGCAGTACTCATCATACCACAGGCTGTGTCCTCCGCCTGGCACACTCTCAAATGGCCAGCCCCTTCTCACAGGCACACACGTCATGACACGTCTCAAGATATAGATACTTAATTTGCTGATTTGTCTTTTTTATTCACTATATCATACTCAGCTTGCAGTTACTTTAAAGATACAAATAAAGCTATGCTGAATGAAAATAAGGACATTTTTCCAGTCCTTTATTTCTAAGAACTAATGTGGAGGTTGTTAAGTATACAAAGAATTATTATAGTTAAATGAAACTGGTTTGACATACTTATGATTACCAAGTTTTACCTGTGGTGTTACATTTTGATTTAAAGTATATTTTGTTTTTAAGACAGCTGCATCTTGCCTGTGGCATTATCTTAGACCTTTTCATCAGCTGTTCTTAGCTGTCGTCTGCACAATGGCTGTTTCCAGCCTTCATTTTAGCATTTATAGAGGTTTGTTCTTCACGTCTAGTAACTCATGGTTTCCCACTCTTGTTGGGCTGCATTCTAGACAATTTTTTTTAACATTTATATTCTATTTCACTAAATCTTTCTTTTGCTGTGTCTAAGCTCTTTAACCTAATAACTGAATTTGTAATGGTAATGATGGTATGTTTTACTACTAAATGTATTACTTAGTCCTTTTCTAAATCCAATTGATGATTCTTCACAGTATTTATTTCCTGTTTATACTTCCAAGCTTATTTTTTAGAGCAGTATCGCGCTGATTGTTCATTAAAAAATTTCTATTTATTTATTTTTATGTGTATGAGTGTTTGCCTGTATGTATATAAGTGTACCTGTGTTGTGCAATGCCTGCAGAGAATTAGAGTTGCAATGGTTGTTAGCTACCATGTGGGTGCTGGGAACTGAACACCTCTGGAAGAGGGGCCAGTGGTCCTAACCCCGAGCCATCTCTCCAGCCTGATTGTTCATTTAAAAAAGCATATTTAACATACTCTACACTAGGAGTCTAATAACCCCACACTGGTGTGTCTGCTGGCTTGACTTTTCATGATGGCATGACTGTATGACTTATCTTTTTGACTATGAATTGCTGATTTCCTTTGAAACACTGTCTATGGGATCCTTAGAGGCCTGGGTTGGGTTAAGTGGCAATTTTCCAGGGAAGGTCCTTACTTTCCTCTGCTTGTCTCTTCAAATACAATGAACCTGGAAGCACTGTGGAGTTCTATATCTCACAGGCACAACTGTCAAGCTGTACCCACGGGAAGGAAAATGTCTCTGATGTTTCAGGGGGGGAAATTCTTTTTATGTCTTAGCCCCTTACCAGTGCCATAGCAAAGAGTTTCCTCAGTGTGTGCTCTGGACCTTCCAGCTGCAAGACTGGATGTTTTACTTATCAAACGCCATTCTATTGGCTCTCAATCACAGAGAACCAAAGCTTTACCTCCCACCCCCTCCCCCGGTAGAAACCTTAGGGATAATCACTTCCAGATTAGAGTCCTTAAAATTACACTTTAATTTTTTTAAGTAGCAAACTACTGCCCTCAAAAGACTGCTCAGCAAGTGATCCACTTCAAGGTAACGGTATCTTGTTCATACAAAACAATGTTTTAAGCACAACACACACACATTCATTTCTTAGACCAGCAATAGCAAAAGTAAAATCATTAGCTACCAATGAAAAATTTTAAGATAATCGGGAAGGTTTTCTTGTTTACAGTAAGAACAATGAAACATAATTTTCTGGACTATGACATTTGGAGACACTGTAGACACATCTTGGTTCTGGGAAATGTCAGATTCACTGAACTTAAATATGCCCCCCCCGCCCCCCTGGGCCAATGAAGCATTTCCTGTTGTGAAACATTCATTTCACAACATAACCTTCTCATGGTTTCTGACTGAAGAGGTCATAGACCCAGTGCCATTTATCATAATCCCAACCTTCCCAAAGTCACCAGAGTATGCAGCAGAGCCAAAACACTACAGAAAATCCCTGTTGTGCTATGCACAGGTGAGCCTGAAGATAGGCAGTTACTCAAATAACCAAGCTCTGATGAATACCAAAACCTCAGATAAGCCTAAGGTCAGGTCACCATGTTTCAAAGCACCAACTCCAACTGTAAATGCAAACTGAGAGTCAGATGCTCATCAGAATAAGGAATTGTGGTTGGATGTGTGTAAATACAGCTGCACAATTTGAAAAATAGTTTAAAGGCTGGGCCTCATAGGTCTCACAGGCCTTCACAGGGCCTCACAGGCCCTCACAGGCCTCACAGGCATGGTATTTCAAAGAGAAGTCTGTGAAATCCCATTGTGCTTCAGAATCCTCCTCTGGACTGAAAAACAAGAGCCAATTCCCACAAGTAAAATAGGAGAAAAGGTATTTTGGGTGCACTATGGGGTTCATTCATTTTTTTGCTACTCACAAGCGAGAACCCTGTCATACTAAATGGCAAACAGGAAAAGTACTTTCTCAATTAATTTAAAGTTAATTCCTTAACTCCTTCAGATTTTGCCCATTTTGTCTGTGACATTATTCACTCTGAGGACAATAGAATGCAACTCATGAACTGCTCCACATTAAAGTTAAAACTGCTTTTTATAAGCCTATTTCTTGGTGGGGACAGATTTGTTTATTAAGTGGGGATTAGTTTAAGGTACAAAACTATACAGGCTTGCCTTGTCCTAAGGATAACAAACAAGGTGTGATTATGTACTGAGCCTGTGGGGGGTGAAGCTGCAGACCCTTTAGGCATGAAGGACTTTCCAGATACCGGTTGAAGCAAAGTCACGCTAGGCTGCACCTGTGTTGGGAAGTAATGGAACTTGTAGCCAGAGTCCTGGGAAGCGTGTGTTTTTTTGGGGGGCGTGGTGGTGGTTAAGAAGACTCAAGGAAGGATCTGCATGCATAGCTCAGAACCTGGTCCTGGAGACATGCAATCTACACGGGCTACTCCAATGACCTGAATTTTTCAAGTGACAAAAACTGAATGAGATGCCTCTGAGCAGAATGACTTGCTAACACTAATCTTTGAAAAATCTAATTTTTATCATTTCAATCTAATTTCTTCTAACTTTAAATCAAATCTAATTTCATCTACATAGCCATTTTCCTAGGAAAAATCTTTATAGTCACTAATCTTAAAATCATGACTTTTCCCCCAATCATGAGGAAACTGGAGGCCACAGGGGTAGAGATTCAAAAGACAAGGAAACTGACAGGTACATAGGAAGGAGAGCTTATGAAGCAGGGCACCTGGACACAGGGTTTGGAGAGGAACCAATAAAGTCATCTGCCACAAGCTGGTATAGATCATCAGGCACTGTTCTAGAAACTGGGTCTCTACAAAAAAAAAAAAAAACCAAACAGCTGTAGACAGGCAGGTCCCTTGGCTCATACAGCTCACAGATCCTCACACTGTATCTCTGGATGGAGAGATGAGACGAGCACAACAGAGAAAGGAGAAGGGGCGTCGTGGAGAGAAAGGACGGGGCACCTGAGACCCTCAGAGGCAGAAGTCTTGCTTCTCCTGCTGTGAGGTGACAGGGGCCCTAAGCATGCCTCTGGCAGTCAGGAGAGAAGAGACCACCATACTTTCTGTGGAGGATCTGCTCCCATCTTGAAGACTTGAAAAACCATGTAAATTTCTAAGGCCCACATGATAGGCTTACACCACTTCTACCTAGTGGTGCATGAGGTGGGTCACAGGAACGAATGACCTGATCAGACAAAGGAAGGAAAAGGCCTCAGTAGGTACTGAGGAAAGGCTGTGGCCCACAGGCCGGAAACCACAACAAACGTCTCCATGGTGTTCCAAATGCAAATACTGCCAGTATGAATGGCAAAAGTCAGGTACTCAAAGAGGTAGAGGACTGCTGAAGAGAGAGCCCCTTCAGAGAAGCAAGGGTGATGGTCAGCAAGGGAGAGTAGCTTCTCATTTCAAAAGGGCACATGGGGCTGGAGATGATGGGGGTAGAGTGCTTGCCTAGCATGGGGTCCATGTCAGCAGCAGGAAAACAGCAAACAAACCAACAAAAATCCCTAAGTAACAACAAAAATGCACATGGGCAGAAGATTCTGCTGGGAGACAAAGATGCTGAAATGCTTGAAAAGAGTCACCTAAGTGAAATTATTTACTTCTTAAGGAATGTGTTCCCATAGTGCCTTAATAAAGAATTAATTTGAAAACTGCTGATAATTCTTCCGACTCTTAAGGGGGAAAAGATTGCAAACACAGCAAAAGGG